CGATCTCACGACCCTGAGGTCATGACCCGAGCTAAAATCAAGAGTCGGATGCTTAACCGACTGAACCACCCAGGCACCCCAGTCCTGGCTGTTTAAGCAACTCCCATCAGATCTCACAACACATGTGCGGCCACCAAGATGGTGAGGCAGCATTGGAGAGAGAACTGGTTTTATTTTCAAAGACCAAATGTTAATTTAAGTCCTTGCCCTGCAGTTATGAATGGCGTGACCTTAAGCACCCTAAGCCGCTCTGTTTTCATCAATGACGTGTTCATTCGATAGCTCTTTAATGCTGTGCTGGGTTGGAACCTTCGGGAAGGTTACACTTATTACGGAAGACAGTGAATAACCAAATAATTACATGGCAAAAAAAAATAATAAAAGTAAAGTAAAATAAAATAATTACATGGCATAGTGTCCCTTTGGGAAGAATCGAGGAAGAAGAAACAAGTCAGGGTAGGAGGATAAAGGATAGATGGACCATGTGACAGATCGGCTGGGGGCGTCCTCTCTTAGGCCCTGACGTTTGAACGGAGCCTGAATGGAGTGAGGAAGTGAGCTGTGAGAATATCGGCAGAAATAGTTTCCAGGAAGCATGAGGGAAGACCCATGGATGGGATCTCTGGCAGCGGAAGTGTGGCATGTGTGCCCGTTCTAGAACTTACTGAACCCTTAGGTGCCAGGCGCTTTGTCCACGTTACGCATTTAGTACTCACACGTTGCTGAGCTCCTCTCCTAGGCCCCGGCTGTACCCAAAGAAACCGAGCCTCCACGACGTTAAAGGACTTGGCTCCACATCTCACACCTGGTAAATGGCAAGCCTTAGCTTCCAGCCCCGGCCCCAGAGCCTGAGTGGTTCCCCAGGGCCGGGGCCCACCAGCAGGAGGCAGTGCCGAGGCAGTCCCTGCAGCATTGGCCCCCCAGGGCAGGGTTGGAGCAGGAAATGGCAAGGCAGGACCCTTTTTATAAAATTTTATAAAACTTATAAAATTTTATAAAAATACTTGGCTGAATACCTAAACGGTGTTGGTTATGTTTTCTTTTTAAAACCGCCTTTTGGCCCTTGTGAAGGTTTCTGTGGGGCCGGGATTGGGTGAGCTTAGTGGGGTGACACTCCAGCAGTCTCCGTGATTGCCCAAGTAATTAAAATATTTTTGTAAAATAACGTGGGTCCTTACTTGTATGGATTCGAACATTATGTTTCCGTACTTGAAGAGCTGCTAGCCGCTTCTGTTAGGCGATATGTTCCTTGCTGGCCTGTCTGAACAGCCATGGCCTCAAGCCATGGTTTTTGTTTTGTTTTTCTCTTTTTCCTACTCAGCTACCAATAGAAAAAAAAAAACCACCATTTGAGGCCCATGGAAATTAAAAGTAAACATGGTCTTATCTATAATATAAATGCTTTGCTTTCAAGAAAGAGTTTTGCACCTAGAAACATTGAATGAGATCATCAGACTCGACCTTCTAAATACCAGCCAGAAGGAAACAACAAACTTTACTCTGTCTTGTACTGTAATTCTTCAGAATTAATTAAGAGCTCTTAAATGTCACATGGCAAGTGCCACTTTTCTTTCGTTCCTGTTTTGGTGTTGGGTCTCTGTCCTCCCAAATATATGAACGTGCCAAGAAGTAGGAACTGACAAGGAAGCAGAAATGTTTCATTAAGATCCATGGAAAGTTTAGGACTAAGAAGGAGGAAGAGGACTGAGGGAGGACCAGGGCGCATGGCAGGTCCTTTAAGAGAACACCTGTTTCAGATTACAGATTTCTTAATGAGACACATGCAACTCTTGGGTTTAAACATAACACTCCCATTTCCATCAACCACCCACGGCCATTCTCCAGGTGTTTGCGATTATGGAATGTCCTGAAAAATCATCTGGGTTGTGTCAACTCTCAGAATACTGCCTGAGTTAAAAAAAAAAAATCCTCCGCAGGCATTAATTTATACTGAAGGTCTCAGTGTAGCATTTACAGCCCTTACGCAAAATAAATAAATAAAATAAAAGACAACCATAAATAAGGGGGTCATTGGTTTCTAATGTTTCCCCCCTCCTAATGGCTAAAAGTCATTTTTAAGTAGTAAAAGGCAGGCATTATGAACTCTGTAAAGCTTCATTGACCAGACTTCTCTAATTCAGATTTTATAGTATTTAGGATGGTGTTTACTTTTGTATTACCAGAGAAAAGAGGACATCCACACTGAAAAAGTAAAGGAAAAGTGGAGATAAGTGTCTTCTGTGTTTTAGAAACAGCGTTGACATTGCTTTCTAAAATAAAACTTGTAACACAGGCGCGCGCAAAACCTCTTGGTGTCTACGTAAGTTTTCATCTTTAAATGAGTCATGCTCACCGCAATTTACTTTTTAAAGTTGCCTGCCATATTTTTAGATGATTAACAACTTGAAAGGCCCTAGTTTTGGATAATTGAAAGGACTTTGGGGATGGAAGGAGTAAGATTTGAAAGAGACTCCTTTTGAGAACCCAAAGCTTCAGCCCAAACAGAATGAAAATTGCCTTTATTATGCAGCTATTTTAACTCAAAATGCATGCATAACAGGAAAAGGAAAGCAATTCTAGACACTGCTCCTTCTAGTTTGACTGGTTGTTTGAGATTTGGAAGCTTTTTATTTGTTCTCTTCAATTTTTAAGCTTTGTATGAGGTTCTAAGTGCTTCATTCCTATTTTGGCTTCATACTAATTTTAGGTCTTTTCTTCCTAGCAGCGTCTTAAAGTCAGAGCCAGCTACATTGTCGTCTTATACAGTATGGCGCCATTGTTCTGGTTCTTTGTATTTTCCCTTCTGTCTCATGGCCTTCCTCGCCAGCCCCAGGTCCCCTAAAGAGGGAACAAATGCCAGCATCTCTGCAGAATAAAGCATATCACTTCTTTTCATTCACCGATTAGCGGTAGCATCTTTATATCTTTGTGAGATAAAGTTGTTTCCGTTGTAAAAAAGTAAACTACTCATTGCAGAAGGCCCAAACTCTCAGGAAAGTGGAAAGAGGATATAATAAAATGTACCTGCAATTCCCACCATCTGGGGGTGACCACTGTCCACATTTGGGTGTGTTCATCCGGACATTTCCATGCACACTAATGATGAGCTACAATTTTATTTAAATGAACCCATTTAAACCTGTCACTGTATGTGACCTCTTTAAATAAAATTGCTGTTCAGTAACCTGCTTTTTTTGATTAAATAGTATCTCATTTATCCTTGTCAGTGAATAGAGATCTACATCTCTATTTAACAGTTGTGTAATATTCTCTTGTACGGCTGTACCATAATTAGGTGAGTGTACCCTAGTAGACCCATCATCCAATTGTTCCCATCTTTTTACTATCATAATAAACACTGCAAAGATAGATTTGTGCTGACATTTTGTATTCTTGTCTCCATAGATTTAAATCTCAGAAGCGTGTTTTGAAGTCTTTATCCATTTGTAACGCTATAGTGGGGGCTTACTCTCTTTACTCATATGGTCAGTCAGTTGTGTTCTGATACCATTTATCAGAAAAGGCATCCTTGCCCCACTAATCTGGAATTGCTGTCGTCATATGTAAATTCCACATGCAAATGGGTCTCTTTTCTTCCTGTGCCAGTGTTGTACGGCTGCCATTACTATAGCAAGTTCCATTTTACCATGTATCTGGGCATCCCTTAGCCCAATCAAGGTGACACATGAAAGGCACCATCCCAACCTAGAAACTCCAATTTCCGTAGCCATCTGCCTGTCACCTGCTGGGATAAGGGTTGCTGCTGAGACCATTCTGTACAATGTCATTGTTTGGCAGGATGACACGTGGAGGGTCCTAATGTCAGCCATTTCTATGATTTCTATGGTCGTAAGTGTTCTGTATAAGTCTTTGGTTTCCGGATCTGGCATCCAATAAAGTTGGCTCCGGAAGAAGACAGTTTATTATAAGGCTACAGTATAAGATTGCAACAGCTTGACTGTAGGCAGGTCTTTAACTGCCCTTTGTTTGGGGTATGAGGAGGCAGAGTAAATGGTGGCTTATTTTCTCAGCATGAATTCTGAGCCAGTTGAGAAGATGACAGAGCAAGAGAGATGGCAGATGCAAAAAAATACCTTATTTCTGAGAAAGCTGATCTTGGAGAATGTGGCTTCTGTCTGCACGCAGCCGAGCTTCCAAATACTGTGTGTGAGCGAGACTTGGGCAGACTTTATTCACCTCTCACTGGCTATGCCAGACCCGTGAAGGCCACTGCCATGGGGGCTGGCCCCTCCCAGAGGGACTTGCTTTCTGTGGGCAGGCTGATTCCCTAAAAACCCCTGGGGAGAACCAGGGGTTTGTCACTTGAAATGTGGCTAGTGCAACTGCAGAGCCGAATTTTTTTTTATGTTATTTCACTTTAATTAAGCTTAAATAGCCACACGCAGCTAGTGGCTACTCTGTAGGACAACACAGGATTTGTTGTGTTGTCAACACAACACAACGTGTACGGACACGGCCCTGGAAAAGCTGACTTTAATTCTAGGGATTCATTTGACATTTTACTTGTGTTTGTGGAGCACCTAAGTGAGTTTGTGTGTCTGCTGTTGTAAAGGCCGTTGCCTTTGGATTTCTCGAATCAGCTTTTAGGGGAAGGTGTGGAGACCTGAAATCTGTCGCCCGACACACCTGGCTGACATTGGCCTTGGTAACACAGCCCTGCTGTTTCAGAGGGAGCTGCCTTTTTCACCCCAAGCTCTAGGACCCGTCATGGTAGACTGAGGGGACAAGTGGGGGCTTCTGTCGCCGGGCCGTGAGCACTGATATGCTCAGGGCTGCATCTACATGGAAGAAGGGGCTCCTATTTGGAATTCTCTCAGAAACATTGTATGGGCTAACACGGCACTCTCACTGGAGGTTCATTCCCTCAGCTTGTGCTACTTAGTCGCTCCTGACACTTACCTCACACATTTTCTGTGAAAAGTGAGCAATTCTTCAGAGCTGCCAAACACGTACTTTTTCTAATGCTTGTCTTGTCAAAGGTGTCTTACCTCCTGGAGGGCGGCAGCATGGCCCATGAAGACTTCTGTGAACATGCTGGTCAGATGAACCCAGGAGACCTGCAGGTATGGCCGACCACAAGCAATTACTGATGTTTAATAACCTCTGGGCACACATGCTTGCTCTTCCCCAGTTCCAGTACACTCACACTTTCCTCCCTCTCTCCCTTCAATTTTTGACCTCTTCCTTTCTGTGGATCCTCCCACTCAGGCTAGAAACCTGCACAGGTTTGCTTGTATTCTCTCAAGATTTCCATGACCCCTTCAATCACTTTTTAGTTCCCAACTGGTCTTTCTCTTAAATTTCTCAAAAGCATAATCAAGGATGGCTGTCTTAACTTCCTCAGCTTCCATTTCATCCTTCTCTCACAGAAATCGGGGTTGGCCTCCTCAGCATCCACCAAACCTCTACAGAGGCCGCTCAGGCACTGGTCACTCATGATGTCCTCACTGCCAAATTCAGTGTACAGTGTCCATTCTATCTTTTAGACCTTCCTGCTGCTTTTGCCACAACTTAGTTGTTTTTTTTTTTTAAGATTTTATTTATTTATTTGACAGAGAGACACAGCAAGAGAGGGAATACGAGCAGGGGTTGTGGGAGAGGGAGAGGCAGGCTTCCCGCCAAACAGGAAGCCTGACACAGGGCTCGATACCAGGACCCCGGGATCATGAGCTGAGCCAACAGTGAAGCCTTCTCAGCTGTCTTGCACCTTGTTTGCAGGGGTAGATGTTGTCACTTAAGACCATGACTCAAATCTTGTCACCATCCTCGGCTTGCCTGAGACATGTTAGACTTATAATCCCCAGTAATTCTTAGCTATTCTTTGCTGGGTTCGTAAGTCTGAACTCTGTGTCAATAACTTTCTGGGATTATTTACATATTCTGTGGAATGTTAACTGCAAATATTTGAATTGTGTTTCAATGAACATGAAGTTGAAAGCATCTATATATGAATAATCGCTCTAAAGTAAGTATTCTTTTTACCTCATCTTTAAAATGAGAGAATGGGGGTGCCTGGGTGGCTCAGTCATGAAGCTTCTGTCTTTGCTCAGATCATGATCCCAGGGTCCTGGGACTGAGTGCAGAATCAGGCTCCTTGCTCAGCAGGGAGTCTTCTCCCTCGTCCTCCTCACCCCTCTGTGAACTCTCTCTCTCTCTCTCAAATAAATAAATAAAACCTTAAAAAAAATAAGAGAATGGGGATTTAAAGATGTCAAGAAAAGCTGTGCAGGGCCTCAGAGCTAGTCAATAGCAAGGTTGAAAAGAGAAATCTCTCCCCTTCCAAATCCAATGGGTGGGCTGAACATAGTAAGAAAGTTCCTACCAAATTAGGTTGTATCTAAGAAAGGATACACAAGGTATGAAAAGTAGATTGAAAAGATGGACAGATAAACTGTGAACAAAAGACGAAAAGAAACGGGAGGCCAAGTCCTTGAGGACCCCAACAGCTTTTCTCAGATGGAAGCACGGGGTGGAGTGTGCTGAGATCTTCATGTGTTGTTGGAGCAGCACATAGATCAGTGAATGTGTCCTGTCATACGTGGATAGCATGTATTTTAGGCTTCGTGGGTCCTGTGGTCCCAGATGTGGCCACCAGTGCGTCCTGCCTTTAGAGCACGAGCCGACAGACAGCATGTCACTGAATGGGCATGTCTGTGTGTCAGTAAAACTTATGTAGAAAATCCAGTGGCCGGCTGGATTTGGTCCCTGGGCTGTCGTTTGCAGACCCCTGTACTAGAAGGTGTCATCAGTCTGGTCAAATAGAAGATGGAAATCTATCCAGATTTAGTGCCAGAAAACTGTCCACTATGTAATGGTCTTGCAGATCAGGGAACAGATATTGCCTGTTCTGGTCTCAGAGTCTTTTCACCTGCTGTTCCCTCTGTATGGACTCCGCTTCCTCTTGCTCTTCCCCGGGTCACTTCGTATTCCCTGTCTGGGTCCCAGCCTGA